TGAGCCCTGCCATGTTGTTTGGTAACACTGAGACTGTGACTTTTTACTTGTCAACTTTGGGCTTGTCAGCCTCAGCAGTTAGCAGCTGCCTGAGTGAAGAAAAGCCTCTAGCTTTAGTGGGCCAGGAATAAGAGGCAGAGCTGAAGCCCAAGGTCAAGGGGCTTTCACCCAGTCCCTAGAGCCTGGCACTTTGAACTCGGACTTCACTGCAAGAGAAGAAACTTCTGTTTGTTCAAGACATCACATTTGTGGTATACTTCGGTCAGAGTGGCACTAGGTAACCAGCACACCAACTGATTTCATATATGGATGGCATTGGTTTTAGTAGCTGGTCAAGAAGCTTGCATTTTTGTGGGCAGAGTCCAAAGGTCATTACATAATACAAAGACTCTAAAGTCTTGTCACTGTGTTTACTTTTTAAATTGCAGAAGATCATGTACAAGTCAGAGCTATTAATAACATGTTCTAAATTTACGCAGCATCTTTGTTTCTACAAAGACCACAAATTGTCCAACAGTCTTGGTCATTTGCATTTAGAACATTCCTGAGCCAAAGGACTAAAAAACAAACAGCTTCGGTGACCCTCATGGATCAATGTAGGGCCTTGGCCAGCTCACACTGCTCACTGCTAAGCCAGCACAGCGTATTTGTGAAACCAACAGTGCTCCTAACTCATGGTCCAGGCAGCATTAGCTAAGAGAGGAAGTACTGTCATGCACACTCACAAAGGTTGCCTGGTGACAGAGAGGGTACAATTATGGAGACAGCAATCATGGAGCCTCCCAGGTGGGAGCCAGGGGATGTGTGGACCACCTCTAGTGTAACTGATTGAACTGCAAATCATTCTGAAATGTTAATGCCAACACAAAGAAATTAAAGGAAAACTTTAGTTGTTTCCTTTGGATAATATAATGTTAGTTCTCAGTGGTAAAGAAAGGCTGGTGGTTCAAGCCACCAGAAGCACCAAGGAATAAACCAAAAAACCAAAACCAAACTCACTACTGTCAAGTGGAGTCCAACTCATAACAATCCCTCCTTGGGTTTTCAAGGCAGTATCTCTACAGAAGTAGATTGCCCAATCTTCCTTCTGAGGAGTTGCTGGTAGGTTTGAACCACCAGCCTTCTGGTTAGCAGTCAAATCCCTTAGGCACTATGCTACCAGAGCTCCCCCATGGAATAAAAGTTGTGAAGATTACAGCAAAGAAAACCCTATGAGCAATTCCACTCTGAAACATAAGTCAGAATCGACTTGGTGGCACAAGACAACAGCAACAAAGTTCTCAGTGTTACGTAGCTTGACCAGCAACTAAGTCTGTTCAGGGATCTTTCTGTGCTCCAGATGCAAGGAGATCTACTGGAACCAGGTGGTTCCAACACCAGACAAGAGTGAAGATGCAAGAGATAAGGCAACAGCCACTGCTTTAAGGTGTTGTTGGTAAGGGGTAGGGACACTCTAAGGAGCTGGCTTAGAGAGCAATGGTTTCTACCACTTCCTCTCAATGGTGATTCTCCACCCATCAGAAGCAATTGTAGAATTTGTGAGAATACAGCATACCCCACCTCCTGCTAAGTCTGAACTGAGGTAGCAGTATGGGTAGACATCAGTGTTTTTACAAAGCTCTCTGAGTGATTCTCCTGTGGTCCCCTCATACCTAGCATCCACCTGGCCACTGATGGTAGTGATGGTATCCTCTCAGGTCACCATCGTTTATAGTGTAAAGGTATTTGTGGAGGGAGGGTCAGCATCCAGGTCCCCCCTGAGACAGAGCATTTGTGCTGCCACAGTGCCTGCTCATGAAGGGTGCAAAGGATGCTCATAGCACCAGGAGATAAGAGCCCCATTGTTGGGATGCCACCTGAAACAATCATGTCCTTTTCTCCCATTCTTTCTGGACTGAATCTAAAGGCAACATCTGGGTCTCAAAGTCCAACTTGCTTCCCTCAGGGCAATGTGGCTACAGCCATGTATGGACAGGGTCAGCACCAGGCCAAAATCTCAGTCAAGCTCAGCAAGGCCCTCCAACTCATGGACCACAGTCTCCTCTTCCAGGAAGTAAAGGGTCATGCTAGAAGAATTTAGGACTCCTTTCAGTCTTAAAACACAAAGCTGGATTAAAACTTAGAATTGCTGTCATTGTTAACTGCTGTTGAGTTGGTCCCTGACTCATGCACACCCCATGTGTTACAGAAGAGAACTGATCTATAGGGTGCATTTTTGGCTGTAACCTCTACAGAAGCAAATCACCAGGCCTTTTGTTCTTTGGAGCCACTGGGTGGCCTGAACTGCCAGTCTTTTGGTTAGCAGCCAATAGCAAACCCTTATGCCACTCACCAAACCCAAAACTCACTGCCATCAAGTTGAATCCAACTCATAGCGACCCTCATTGGGTTTCTGAGGCTGTAAATCTTTACAGAAGTAGATCATCCAATCTTCCTTCCACAGAGTGGCTGGGGGATTTGAACCACTGACCTTCTAGGCAGCCACCAAATGTGTTACTGTCTCCATTGTTGTTGTTGTTGTTGTTGTTATGTGCCATCGAGTAGGACCCGACTCATAGTGACCCCTCCTTGGGTTTCCGAGGTAGTATCACTACGGAAGTAGATTGCCCAACCTTCCTTCTGAGGAGTGGCTGGTGGGTTTGAACCAACAGCCTTCTGGTTAGCAGTCAAGTGCCTTAGGCACTATGCTACCAGACCTCCCTACTGTCTCCATTGTTGTTGTTGTTGTTGTTGTTGTTGTCTCCATTAGAAAAAAAAAAAATTCCACCTTTCACGGAAGTTACTGGTTATGAACAAGTATTTACCACTATCTCCCATTCCCCACCACCCCTCTGTCAGTTATACTGTGGTGGTTTGCATGCTGCTATGATGCTGGAAGCTATGGCACCAGTATTTCAAATACCAGCAGGGTTACCATGGACAGCAGAGCTTCCAGACTAAGACAGATTAGGAAGAAAGGCCTAGAAATCTCCTTCTGCAAATTAACCAATGAAAACTTTATGAATTTATCCCTGACCATGAAGCCCGGCCTTTTCCCACTGTTGTTAAAAGGTTTTCATTCGGAACCTTCAAATACTGTTCTGTGTTCTCAGCTCATTTGACCAAAGGCAAATGCCACAGCAGGGGATTCTTCCTTTCTCTCTCAACACCCCAGGCATACCAGTGATCTGAAAATATTATATGCAAGGTGACTATATCTTCTGAACCCAATCAGGAAATGAAGCAGGATCATTTCCCAATTTACAAGCTGTAGGGCCACCATGGAATCCCTGAGTGGTGCAAACAGCTAAATGCTCCACACTAACCAAAAGACTTGCACTTTGAGTCCCTCCAGAGTCACCTCTGAAGAAAGGCCTAATAATCTGCTTTGGAAAGGTCACAGCCTTGAAAACCCTATGGAGCAGAGTTCTACTCTGACACATACAAGGTCACCACGAGTCTGAATCAACTAGAAGGTGGCTGGGGTTTGGGGGTTTAGGGCCACCATCTCTGAGCGTTAGATGCAATGAGAGGTCCCTGTGTTAAAAGTGGAAGGATCCTACACACCATTCACCTGATACTCATTCTCTCACACTGGTTCACACAACCAGCCGACAGTGGACTCAACATCAGAACCCACATCCGTGACACCAAGTGACTCAGGGGTCAGTGACAGTACCTGTGAAAAAACAAAAATCTGTGTTTGCTCACGTGTATGAGGACACATGGCTTTAGGGCTCCCACAAGAGATGGACAGGTTCCCCTGGGAGGAAATGTCTGGCTCAGGACATCCGGAACACATATTCTAGGCACCAGGACGGAAGTCGGTCTACTGACCTTGAAGCCTCTTGTAATCTCAAGGTACGGTTATTTGTTCAAAAGTTCAGAACAAGGGTTTTTGAATTGTTGATTTGAAGCTAATTTATACTCGAAGCTATGCTAGTTTCTTCATCACACACACACACACACACATCCTGCCTTAGATCACAGCCAACCAATCTCTCAAAACTGATGGCAGCACATGTGTGTGTCAGTGTCATGAGACAAAGTCCAGGCAGAAGACCCACTGGGGGAGATTTTGAACACTAGTGGACCAGACACATAGCATTTGCTATTTCCAAAGCAAGAACATGTATACCTCAAAACACAGAGAAGGAGCCAAGGCTAGGAGATGCTTCCCCAAACTCACCAGTTCTTAATCCCTCCTGTGGAGTACCTAAAAATAGTAGATCCCAAGAACTTATTAAAGCAAGATGTCTTAAAAGTAAAAATAAGACACCAAGTAATTGTGAGTGGAAGAAGCATAAGCACAGTAGTGTGAGGCAAGAGAGCTAAGGATTAAGCAAGCCCCTGTGCTTTGAGGTCAAACAGCACCAGGAGTCAAATCACAGCTCTGTTACTCACAGGTTGTGTGACCTTGCGTAGGTTGCTTAACCTCACTTGGCCTCAGTTTCCTCACCTGTAAAATGGTGCCAACAACTATGTCCCTGGAGTTGTGAAGATACAAAGAGATGATATAGAGACCTAAAGCTCCAAATACAACCTCTACTAACACAAGTTCACTACTTTTATATGTCAGAGAATGCAAATCTTTCTAGAATAAATTTCTGGTGATGTCCAGCTCCACAGTGATAGAAGCTTATTTCGGTTATAGTTACTCATCAGCTGCATAATCAAGTTAAGTTCTGGGTGTCAGAAGCCATGTGGGACTCAGGAAAGGCAGGTATGAGCTGGGACAGGGACTGGTCCCTCTGCCAAGTCTCTCAAACCACTCCTTTCCCCTTGGTGGAGCTGGGGACCTGGTCACTAAGGCTTGGTGAATAAATTCGAACCCCCCCCCCCAGGGTCTTCCAGGTCTTTCTCCTAACTTTCAGAGATGCTTTGTTAAGGGCGAGGCTGAATTCGAATTCTGTCAAAGGCTGGTGAGTCAGGACTCCAGGGAAGAGCTCTACCCTTACGCCGGCACCAGGCCATCAGCGCGCTTCGAACCCGAGAACTCTGAGGCTCTCGCAGAAACTCACCCCTTTCCTTTTGGCCTCCTCGTTCAGAGCCATCACCCAGGCTGTTTGCCACTGGCTCCGCCAGCTGTTCAACTTCAGGATCCAGGTCAGCAGGGCGTCGGTCTCCTGGTGCTGACCCTCGCGAGGCTCTTCTGTGTGCCACAGGGACGGGGGTCGCGCCCTGGCCAGCGCCCACTGCGCCAGGTACAGGCCCACCGTGCCCAGGGCCGCGACGAAGAGCGATACCAGGACAAGCCATTGGACCTCACTGAGCCACGAACCCAGCCAGGACATAGTGCTGGCGCATACCCAGCCGCCTCGCCTCAGCTCCTCGACGCAGCCCGGGTCCAGGGCGTAGCGCCCGCGGGCGACGAGCTCAGGACATTAGTCCGCCGGCCGGCTGGGCGGCGAACTGGGAGGGCGGGTCGGGGGCGCGGCGGTAGAGAGAGGCGGGAGAGGAGGAGCCGGGTTCCAGGGCTGCTCCGGGAGAGGCAGGACCCAGGCGCGGAGGCCAAGAGGAAATGCCCGGCCTGCGCACAATGGCCACAGCCCGAGATCGCGTCCCCTTCAATCACACCTGGAAAATGGAGAAGCAGAAGCAGACTCCGCAGTAGGCGCCTGCTACTCAGGCGTCTGGGAAGTTCCTGGGCCGCAGTCAGGGTGCATTTCCTCCACCGCGCGCTGCCCGGGGCGTCCCGCCCTCGAACCAGCAGCGGCTCGGAGGAGGCCCAACCTGGGGCGGGGCGGTGGGAGGAGAGGAGGAGGGGAAGGGAGTAATGCCGGGGGGCGGGGCCGGCCGGCCAGGGGCAAGGGCGGGGGCGGGGCCGAGCCGTCGGTGGCCTCCTGGCGCTCCGGCCCTCCGGGCCCGGCCCGCCCCTCCCACCTCCTTAAAGGCCCCGCCCGGGTGGGCCCTGTCCCCACCCCCGCTGCGGCCCCTGGCCGAGGGCAGCTAGGTACTTACTGGCTTTGAACACCCAGCGAGGCTTCCTCCAGCGCTGACCTGCCTGCCTCTGGCGTGAAGACGCGACCGCCACCACGCGCGGGACTTTCCAATTAATCAGCAGAGTGAAGCGGCCCCTGGGGGGTTGGCTCGTTGCGGCTCGTGTGTGTGTGTGTGTGTGTGTGTGTGTGTGTCTACGCGGACCATTTGGAGGGTGATTTCTAGGAAAGCCGTCTGCCCACCAGCAGGACAATGCCTTGTTTTAGGCACTTTGGAATGTCCCTAGAAGTCCTCCACTCGCACCCTAAAGGGGAGAGAAATCCCCGTATTTGTGGAGCTCCGTTTGGAGCCTTGTCTTATGGGCTACCCTGCCAATGTTCAAGGAGGAGCTCAGCAAAATGCCCGCAGGCCCCACCTTCTTTGTGCAGTTGTGTTATTAAGCAGAATCTATGTGTTTGTGGGGATCTCTGGTGGCATAGCATTTGACTGCTAATAAGAAGACTGGTGGTTCAAATCCACCAGCCACTCCTCAGAAGGAAGATTGGGCAATCCACTTCTGTAGTGATACTGCCTCAGAAACCCAAGGACCGGTCGCTATGAGTCTGATCCGACTCCACCGCAATGAGTTTGGTTTGGTTTTGGTATGCGTTTGTGAGTGAGACACATCCCCTGCACCCTTTCTCTTGCGGGACCAACCCCCATGCATAAGAAGTGCCAAGGAAACATATAAAGTCTGAGATTTCTCCATGGTATCCCTATGCAAAGCCTAAACCGTAAAATAGCAATTGGCATGTATTTTCTGTGGCTCTTAAAGGGATTTGACCTTAAGATAGACCTAATCTTTGCCTTCTTTTACCTGGAGGCGCCTACTAAGGAGGGAAGTCTGGTTAGTAATGTTGGTGAGACTCCAGCTTCTCCCTAGCAGCAGAAGGTGAGGCTCCTCCCCAGCTCTACTTCCTGGACAGCACTGGGACATGAAGGTCTCCTTAGGACTCCACTGGGGCGGTGGGGGGCGGTTTCCTCAAGGAGATAGGCTTATTTGGTAGTTCTTTTTATAAAGATACAAAAAGAACAATTTCCCCAACCCATAGGGAGAAGAGCCTGTGAGCTGAATGGAGAGCTCTTGAATAAATAAAGGGTAAGAACCGACCAAAACCAAACCCGTTGCCATCAAGTCTGTTTTGCCTCATAGTGACCCCATGCATTTCAGGGTAGAACTAACTGCTCCATCGTTTTCTTAGCTATAATCTTTATGAAAACAGGTCTTTCTGAAACCCTTTCTTACTTATTTGGAGGAAAGGTCTAATTATTTCCTGCTCTGGAGCCAGAACTATGGAGTTGAACAATTCAAGTCCTGCTGATCCCCTTGAAGGAAGAACTGGGAGGAGAACTCAGCAGCTCCGTGTCTCCCTGTTTCGTGGTAAATGTGCACACATGAATGTGCACTCACCCACAGCTATGTCATAGGTGATGACATGGCTGTCTTGTGACACCAGTGGAACTTGTACCCTTCCTCCACAGACACAGCTTGGAATCATGTGCACACCACTGGTTTATTTAGAGGTTGTCACAGACAATAAACTAACCACCATTCCTAGCTTGAAATTAGTCATGCTTGTCTGAGTTTTTACAATAGGAATGTAAACATACAGATATTGAATTACTCTGTGCAGAAGCAAATGGAGAGAAAATAAAGAATAACATGGGCTTATGGTGGTAATGCAATTGGCTAAAACATGAAATAGGAGCTGTCTTGTAAATCTATGAAAAACACCAGGCACCCTGTGTTTCTGCTCCCTGCCCCACCCCATCAATCCAAGGTTTGGAGGACACTGCACAGCATGGTCCCTGTTTGAGTAGGTGGTGACGAATGATCACTCTACTTAAAATTTGTCTTTCCATAATGTCGAGTTTATTAATACATAAGAATATCAACACACAAAGGGTGGCTGCCTCCACACATGAAGGACTTACACAAGCAAGAGTAGATAAACAGAGTTAGTACTTATCAACCAGTGTCAGGGATGAGTTTGTGGATAACCCCAGTGTCTACAATTCTTGTGATGGGGCCCGTAGTGACACCTTCTTCAATTTGGTTGTGGCAATATTGGTGTTTGCTCTATTGGACTTCATAAGGGGAGTTAGGAATAGTGCCACACGGGGAGTGCATGGGCTTAGATTGCAAGTGAGGGCTTTTCCAATGACAGGCATCCTGCTTGGCTTGAAACACTGTCTGGACAGAAGAGACCCAGTGGGGCTGACACAGGGTATCCCGGATGAGCTGCCACTGCAATCGATCCCCAGCACCGGAGATTCCCAGAATGTGCCTGCTACTACCCATGTTGGCCACCAACAACCATTACCTTAACTTTAGTGACACTTTGGGTGCTCCTAGCAGATAGAGTACCACACCATGAATGTGTGGGCTTAGAGGAAGATCACTCTCAAGACTGCCCACCTCGAAATGGAGTCTTCTCCACCAGACCTACGCACTGTTCTCTGAGATAGTGAGAGACTGCATATACCTTACCCTCTCCACTGGGGGAGTCAGACTCTTGCTTGGGCTATGGTTCTGGTATTGCTCCCAGCAATGAACTGCTGTTCTGCTGGTCCTTATACACACCATAATCAGTATTTTCTCATCTTGTCTTTCTGTACCATACTTGTTCTGTCTTTTCTGTTAGCTTATCCACACCCTTGATTACTTCTTTTCTTTTTTTTTTAATTTTTCCAGTGTTTCCTCCCCTCCCCTCCCACTCCTCATAACCAACAAAGAAAGTTTCCTTCCATATGCAAACCTTTCCTTAACTTTATAATGTGAACTAATACAATATTTGTCTTTCTGTGATTGACTTATTTCACTCAGGATAATGTCCTCCAAGTTCACCTACATTATGTGGTGTTTTGCAGATTCTACATTATTCTTTAGTGTTGCATAGTACTCCATTGTGTGTATGTACCATAGTTTGGTTATCCATTATTCTGTTGCTGGGCACCTAGGTTGTTTCCATCTTTTTGCTATTGTAAATACTGCTGCGTTGAACATAGGTGTGCATATATCTGTTCTTGTCCCGGCTCTCCCTTCCTTAGGGTATATACCTAGTAATGGGATTGCTGGATCAAATGGTATTTTTAATTCCAACTTTTTAAAGAAATGCCATACTGTTTTTCAGAGTGTTTGTATCATTTTACAGTCCCACCAGCAGTGTATGAGAGTCACAATCTCCACATCCTCACCAGCATTTGTTGTTTTCTGTCTTGTTGAACTTTGCTATTAGTGCTGGGGCCAGATAGTATCTCATTATTGTTTTGCTTTACATCTCTCTAATGGCTAATGATTGTGAACATTTCTTCATGTGTTTGTTGGTGGCCTTAAGATCCTCTTTGGTGAAGTGTCTATTCATGTCTTCTGCCCATTTTTGAATTGGATTGTTTGTCTTTTTGTTATTGAGGTGTTGGAGTTTTGTATAAATTTTAGAGATAAGTCCCTTGTCAGATATGTCATTACTGAATATTTTTCCTAATCTGTAGGTTCTCTTTTCACTCTTTTGAAGAAGCCTTTGGAAGCACATAACAATTTAATTTTTAGAAGGTCCCATTCATCTAGTTTATCTTCTGCAGTTTGTGCATTTTGGGTTATGCTTGACAGTCTATTTATGCCATTAATTGTTGTTATTTGCCATCAAGTCGGACCTGACTCACAGCAACCCCTCCTTGGGTTTCCAAGGCAGTATCACTATGGAAGTAGATTGCCCCATCTTCCTTCCGAGGAGTGGCTGATGGGTTTGAACCACCAGCCTTCTGGTTAGCAGTCAAGTGCTTTAGGCACTGTGCCACCAGAGCTCCTATGCCATTAATTAGGGCCCCTAAATTTGGCCCTAGTTTATCCCCTGAGGAACTTTATAGTTTTAGGTTTCACATTTAAGTTTTTGATCCATCTGGAGTTTGTTTTTGTGTATGATGTGAGGTATGGATCTCATTTCATTTTACTGCTAATGGATATTCAGTTTTGCCAGCACCATTTGTTAAAGAGACCATCCCTTCCCCATGTAATGGATTTCAGCCCTTTGTCAAAAATCAGCTGACCATAGGTTGATGGGTCTGTTTCTGGGTTCTCGATTCTGTTTCACTGGTGTATGTGTCTGACATTGTACCAATACCAGGCTATTTTGACTACTGTGGCTATATAGTAGGTTTGGAGATCTGGGAGTGTGAGACGGCCTATTTTGTTTTTCTTCAGTAGTGCTCTGCTTATCGGAGGTCTCTTTCCTTTCTTTCTTTTCTTTTTTTTTTTAATTGTGATTTGGGTGAAGATTTACAGAGCAAATTCACTTTTCATATAGCAGTTCCGAGG